AGTGAGGGAGGTAGGTAGGTAGGTAGGTACATGCATCTAAACTAAACCGCCAGACTCAAAAATGCAAAGCCCTACAAACCCCAAACTTGAAAAACCCTCATGTTGACTTGCATTTCTTAATCTCTCCCTCATTTATAAAACCCAACCAACGGAACTCAATTATCAACTCCCCCTCTATTATAAGATTTCTTGTGTTGGTTTGCTTAGCTTTGTGGGAACGGATATTGCAGAGAGAGAGAGATGGTCGCAGAGAGTTCTTGGACAGAAACAAGATGGAACGAATGAGTATGATGTATATACGGATGTACTTACATAACTACCTAATTGAATACCTACGCACACCTATTCATGTGTGTATAGAGAGAGAGAGAGAGGAAAAACAATGATAATGAGAAAGCAAGCAAATAAACATACATATATATATATATATAATTACATATATATATATATATATACACACACACAAAGAACCTCAGGGCCTTGACGAGCGCCAGGCTACGCTGCGAGGCCACCAGCTCTCTCTCCTTGTCGTAGAGAGCCTCCCAGGTCTTGCGAGGGCGCAAGGGCTTGGCCCCTTGGAGCAAAGAAACCTAGGGTTCTGTTGGGCCCAATATCGGACGAGATGGTGCAAGGCTGCATTCCGCGAATTTTTCACATGAGGCACGTTTCGCTGGTTCCCGGGATTCCACCCCCTCACAAGAGTCTGTGCTCATTGATATCTGTACTTGTCCGCAGGTCCACAAAAAATTTGCCGGCAGTGCACTGCGGAATCCTAGAGTACACATCATTGCATGTGTTGCTGTTTTACAAGAGACATACCACTTCAGGCCACGCATCATGGCACCGCAGCCACGGCAATGAACTCCTTGAGCTTCTCTGCATCATGCCGGGCCGGATCCTTCACTTCGCCACAGAAGGCATACCAGGTCTCGTTCTTCTCCTGGCCAGACTTTTGGAAGCTCTTGATTCGATCTACCAAGGCGGCCTTCTCGGGGTCAAGCTTCAGCTTCTTCTGGGTACGTCCATACCAAGCCAACATCTGGTGCATCATCTTTCCGTGGCTGTTGGGGTTCGGTGGCCGGCCAGTCCACGCAGACACATGCACTGTCTTGCCTCCAGGAGCGAAGCTGCACCGACTACTGGATGAGACGTCAAGATGAGATGACATCACAGAGCCCGGACTTCCGACTCTACACTCGAACTTACATGTTCATGGCAGTTTAACACGCCATGCTGATTCCTGCAGCACTTGAACACGCAAGTGATGAACGTGGTGAGTCATCCTGGAAGGCCCTAATTCGCCAAACGCTTTTTCTGAACCACCGCCCCACGTCGCGCCTTCCATTGAGCTGTTGTCGAGGCTGGTAATGGCTTGAAGGGCTTCTGCTTGAGTCCTGAAGCGCACGAAGCCGAGTCCTCGTGACTGCCCCCAATCATTGTACAGCACGTCGCAGTACTCGATCTCACCTGCAGTCCTTGACAAAGTAGTGTCACAAGCAGACAGTCTGTCAGGGAAGACCGGGCCCTACGTCTAGATGCCATGCTGCCCTGTCCTCATGTAGTCCTGCAGCTCTTGCCACTCTGCATGTTTGGGAATGCCTGCGACGAAGACGCAGCGTCCATCGTCTGCGACTTGATTCGCCATAGCAGGCCCTTACCAGGTGCTCTGGAGTCTTCAAATTAACTATGAGCCAGCACTCCGGCCACAGACATGCAAGTCCCTGCGTGATTCCGCTCTGCCAACTCTAATAGTGTCACTGGTAGAGTCACAACTGGAACGAAGCATCTGGCTGCAAGACTTCTTTTTCACAATCCCCGGCTCAAGATCAAAGCCGCGCATTCATAGCACAATGCTTCCTCTCTACCCGGACCCGGAGGTTCAGAACCTGCTGGTGGCATACCCGTGCATTGGCAACTGAATGATAACAGAAGAACTAGCCGTCACGGTAGTGTACCTGGTAGATCGGCGGTAACCAGTCTACTTACTGCTTCGAAATTCTTACGTCGTACTTCGCACTCTTAGCACGACGGACTACGGCCAGGCCTTCCATTACCACTACCGCCACCGGCTACCACTACCAGTACCGCTGCCACATTGACGACGACGACGGCGAGTGACGAGCGACGAGTGGCACGTGACGAGTGACTGGTAACGCGTGACCAGTAACTGATGCCGCAGATGCTAGTGCTTACTGGCTGCTGCTACTGCTACTACTGCTACTAACTACCACGACTACCACTACTGCTGCTACTACTACTGCTGCTGCTACTGCTGCTGCTACTACTGCTACGGCTACGGTCAACTTAGCTGCTGTGCTTCGACTGCTTCGCGGCGGGAATGCCGATTGCACGGGTCATGGCACCGAGTGCAGGGCAACAAACTCCTTAAGCTTGTCTATGTCATGTCGGGCAGGATCCTTCACTTCGCCACAGAAGGCATACCAAAGCTCCTTCTTGTCCTGGCCTGTTTTTTGGAAGTTCTTGACCCGATCCACCAGGGTGGCCTTCTCAGGGTCAACCTTGAGCCTCTTCTGTGCGCCCCCATACCAGGCCATCATCTGGTACATCATCTTCCCGGGGCTGTTTGGGTTAGGCGGCCGCCCAGTCCACGCAGACACCTGGACGGCTTTGCCTCCGGGACAAGGAGCTGTAATTCGGGGAGGTAGGACGGCCGCATCTAGCTCCGTAATGCTTTGCACCGCTGGGCAGCTACGGTATGCTAGGAGATCTAAATTCTCTTTTCGACATGGACTCACCATGCAAGGGCACTGCTCAAGGGTACTGCCCTGCTGCTCTGCCAGATGCCTTGAAAACTCGATCACACTTCTGTTGGTTCGCTGCTTGACGACTCTTGCATATCACCGCAGTCACTACAGTACAGAGTTGTACATCATGCTGGTCACTCATCGTTGCAGATCTGGCCTTCCATTGAGCTGCCATCGAGGCTGGCAATAGCTTGCTGGGCTTCCGCTTCGGTCTTGTAGCGCACGAAGCCGATACCCCGCGGCTGGCCCCAGTCGTTGTACAGCACGTCGCAGTACTCGATCTCGCCAGCGGTCTTCATATGGTCCTTCAGCTCTTGCCACTCTGCATGTTTGGGAAGACCCCCAACATAAATGCAGCGTCCATCATCTGGGACTTGGTTCGCCATAGCCGACCTCTCCTAAAGGCTCCGAGCCATAAGATCGACTGGAGGCAGGCAGGCTGACTGCACCAAATGCATCATCGTTGCGCTACATCATGTTTGTCATCTATGGCTTGAGCTGCCTTCTTCACCCGCCCTCGGTCGGCTTCAAGGTCACAAGCCCGTCGCTGAGCCTCACGCATCTGCCACTTCTTTTTGGGGGGCAGGCATAACAGATGGGCTCACGATGCGGAGTGCAACACGAGGGCACGGTGCAGGGTAGCAAAGATTCACTGACGATAGTGCACAACGTTGTATGTCTAGTTTCTTTTCCCACATATCGTACTCAACCAGCTGTGCATAGTCTTATCTTCAGTTCTAAATAGCACATGGCCTAGCAGTCATACCCAGTAGCTGTCGGCTGCTAGCAGCCCTTTTGTTGTTCTTGAAATATATAACCCACTACAGCACAGCACCCCCATCCTACAAGTAATGTCTTGTTCGTGCAGCTGGCAAGTCGCTCCACTGAGCTTGCGAAATACTGTGGCCTCTTTACGCGCCAAGCACGTGTCTTCCAGCTCCTTGCCGGCCAGACTCACAAAGCTTTTCATGCTTGATGCAGCAGCGAGAACACCCAAGATGAGCATGGGATTGCATGGAGCTGTAAACCCCAAACCCTTACCATACGCTACACAAACCTAAGGCATCTCACACCCATACCGAAAAGAACCCCGCAAATCCGATTGCCGTAATCAACAGTCCTTCTGCAGCTGCTCAATCTTCCTCTCCTGACTCTGCAGCTGCACCTGCTCTCGCCCCATCATGGCGCCGGGGCTGAGGGTGACCATGAACTATTGTGGTCTTCTAGATTAGGGTTTGGGGTTTATGGGTCCTCTAAACTAAGAACATTCACCATACGGATTCTACCATTTGGGGTCGGTTTCTGAAACTATCAGATCGCTGGGGCCCTGGCGTGTGCGCTTGCTGCAGCCTTGTGAGCAAAGGGCTTCTTTCTAAGGGTGGCTGTGGGTTTGAAGACAGGGGCCAGAATAATTGGAATAGATTGATGGAGTACCTTATACTGTGGGAAGATCAGTAATAAGTAGTCCGACCCCTAAATTCGGATTCCTATGGCTTATAACACAGTTCCCCTGATACCGAGCCTTCATGGTTCCCCTATGACACCCTCATCATTCTCCTGTGGCACATATATGGATTTAAAGGTTTTGAGAAATGTCGACCAATTACAACTCGCCCAGACCAGGCAAGGATCCGCGGATTTAGGGAATAAAATTCCCTAAATCCGCGGAGCGAGTTGTAATTGGTCGACATTTCTCAAAACCTTTAAATCCATAGATGTGCCACAAGAGGATTTAGGGAATTCAGGGTTTAGGGTTTACTAAACCTTCCCTCTTAAACCCGAGACGGGACACTAAACCCTGAGAGCCCTCCCTCAACCATAAACCCTTAAACTCGTAAAGCCCTAAAGACCCAAATCCTCAACTCCTAAACCCAAGCCTCAAAGTCCCTACCTAAACCCCTTTTTGCATCTGGATTTGTGCAATCGCCAAAGACTGGCAACCCAGGACCCCTACAGCCCTTTTGCATCCGGTCTGCAGCGACTCTATCGGGAAAGACTTGTATCCGCGCTTAGCACAGGACAAAGAGGCTTCACAAACCTATGATTCTGCCGTTGGCCCCCTCGCCGTCTAAACCCCTAAACGCCTAAACCCTAAACCCCAAACCCTAAACCCTAAACCCCCTCAACCCTAAACCCCTACACCGTCAAACCTTAGAGCAGCTTCGAAGTTCCACCTTCTTCGCCACCAGGAGGTCGGAGGCGCGAGCCTTTCGCCGGGGTATATGCGAGCATCATTCTAAACAAAACCTCAGGCAAGAGGGGCCTTGTCGTTTTTAATTTAAACTAGGGTTTTGGGGTATATACTGGTACAGTTAGAACAAGGATGCGCAGGGAATAAAACTGCTTCTTCAGGCTTCTGGATTACATAGCCTATTCAGAACATGTGTACAAACCCCCTCTCAAGGACAATAAACGGTACAGAACCCTAAAAGAAACCTTATTAAACCCTATGAAGCTTGCATCGAATACTCCAACACACCTTCTAGTGGTGGGAAGCCAATCTCACTCCACCCATTGTAGAAGCCGGAAAGCTGGAACGTGAATTTGCTCATGCCCTTGAAAATGAGGGATAAGGAATCCTAGCACTGCTCATCTTATACCCGAGACCCTACACCCCTCGGCATTGTGGGGTTCACTGTGAGTTCGGGAAACCGGTGGGGAAGGTGCATTTACTACACATATTGTAGCTTTCTTACAGGACGGGGCTTTTGGGCCTTGAAGGTATCAGATTTCGGGTTTACGGCTTCGGGCAAAGCTGGTTTCGAGGAGTGACTTGGGAGTTGAGACGCCAGATATCCTGCATTCACCGGAGTTGGGCGTTAGGAAAAAAGTGCACCTGCCAGCCCAAACTCAAACCGCTGAACCGTAGAAGTGGTCTTGAATCCGATAATGACCCTGACCCTCAACCCTAAACCCAAAACACTCGAAGTTGCCGCAGGCTTCTACAATGCTGACCCTCAAGGACCCTGTGTTAAACCAATTCTTCTGCCGACCTCGGCTTGCGCCCTCCGCTTCTCTTCGTCCAGCAAGCCTAAGAGAGGGGGTTTCATTTAGAACAGGGTTTTGTGCAATACTACAATCGGTAACTTTTATGGGTTTGGGGTTGGGGTATCGTGGCTGATCTTTCCGAGCTCTCTATACAAGGAGGCAGGTCGCTTAGAGTTTGGAAGGTGAGGTTCAGGGATGTTCAGGGGCTGTCACCACCGACTGGGAGCTGGGCTGCAATTCTGCTCGGACTCTGCAGGCGAGGCTAGAACTGCTACTGGGTTTTTTTCCCTCTCGCTACTGGGTTTAGGGTTTAGGGTTTAAAGTTTAGGGTTTAGGGTTATTCAAGAACCGCCTGAGGGCGCCACGTAGTAAAAACTGCAGCAACGGCACACAGCTAAACCCAGGCACACATGGTAAGAGCTCTTCCACGGCTCCTGAGATCTACGGGTGTACAGTTTAGATCTATCAGGTAGTCGTACTGAAAATCTATACAGAAGTGCGTGACCCAAGGGGAATTACTTCGTAGCCTTCCCTGAGCCAGCAAACATACAACGATCGCTCACATCCAGCACTTGAAAGCTACTTTCCTCACTCCTCCTCAAGTTCATCGCCAGATTCAACTTGACCCTATGGCTGGACTCCGGGGCGATCGAAGTTCGGCAATTGTCCAGATCGTAGGATCTCATCTATGCTTGCACCAGGAAGCTGTGGATCCCTTCCCTGATGACGAACACAGTATTCACATATACGAAGAGATTGAACACGATCTTGAGTTCCACGATGACGGAAGGCATGACATGGGTTGAACACGTGGAAACATTGCCCTCCAGGAACACAAAACACCTGCTCTGGTACTTTAAACTGCGTCCGTGTGTCAACACGAATTTCGGGAGGTGCTGGAGCAAACGCTGGTCCTGTAGTCTGAACTGCACGATCTTTCTGGTTCGCCCTATAGGTTACCCTTTCGGTGCTCAATGGAGTCAAAGGTACTCTCGAAGATGACTCCGTTCGGTCCCTGTCACCGAGTTGTCCTCCACCGCGCCGACCTAGATCTTGAGCTCTACGAACTTCAACAGGTACATCACGCTCTCTTCTACGGGCTTCTAGCTCATGCTGAATTGCAACTGCAGTGTGATCTCGAATCCTTTGTAGCCGTCGAAGTCTTCTGGCATCTGCTCCTGGTACCGCTGAAAAATACAACTGCCAACCTGCATACCTTAAGAACTCCCAGGCCACCGTCCACAATAATGCAATGAGTCCAAAAACAAACCACATCACCATCCCATGATCCACCGATAGCGGTTGGTGATCCCCAGCAGGTATCAACTCCATTGCTTTTGCAGGAATCACTGCTTGCGAAAGAATCAGCAAGGCAACGAGCACCTTTGATATAGCAGACTTCTGATGCGGTCGTAGATCCTGTCTCTCCTCGTCCTCAATGTACTGATCAGAAGAAAACAAACCCATCATCTTTGACAGCTGTGCCAATCGGGCTGAAGACAACGGCTTTGTTAGCGCGTCAGCCAACTGAACTTCTCCAGCACAGTGTTGAATCGTCACTTCCCCTCGCTCCACCCTTTCAGCTATCCATGCCGCCTTGATACGAAGATGGCGTGTACGCCAAGATCCACTCCCATGCTGTATGGCCATGGAAGACATACTGTCCGTTTTCAACACCAATGGTATTTCTCTGTCTTCGATTTCTTGCCACAAAGCGCACAAGCTTGAAAGAGCCAGTGCCCCTTCTACGGAGGCAGTCAGTTCCGCCTCTGCGGTTGACAAAGTGATGCTCCCCTGCCTCGAAGAGCGCCAAGCCAGGGGTGAATCCCCGGCTGTTATCAGCCATCCTGTGTGGCTGCGGCCACACTCCGGCGCAAATGATGCGTCGGTCCAGCTCGTCAGTTCTGGCCCTTGGCATACGAGATGTAATCGGTAATCTCGTGTACGTTGCAAAAACCTAGGACCTTTCTTGTGATCGATGACACTCTTCTCGGGGCCTTTGTCGTCAAAGAAGACGTAAGACTGGCGACGTATGCGAGATCTGGACGAGACCTTTGGGACAACCATAATATTTCTCTCGCATATTGTTGAGCTTCGCGCAACTCAGTCTCTGTGAATATCGCTTCTTCTTCCGTTGCCACAAAAGACGCTTGTTCTCGTGCCACCGGAATAACGTCCCTTTGCGACTCCTTGACTCCATGAATTCGGAGTAGTTCAGCGATATAGTCTGACTGAGAGATTGCAAAGCCGCCCTCAATCTTTTCAATCTCCAACCCCAAGAACTTTATTGCTCCATCCGAAGCCATAGCTAGCGGGCTAGTTGACCACAACTCCTTGATCGCCTGAGCCACTGCTTTCACAATCGGTGGGGTAGAGCAGATAAGAATGTCATCCACATATATGACGATCACTCCAACGACCGATGACTCTTCTACCAGCTGCTTTCCACACGACATCTGGCCAGGGCGGCCAGGGTCACCTTTCTACTGCCAATTCGAACTATCAAACGTGCTAAGCTTCTGAGCAAAGGCCGGCGCGTATGAGAGCTTTAGGCGGCTGCCCAAACACTCGAAACTGACAACTCACTTCTGACAGCGGGGTTTGTAAAAAGGCACTTGTGATGTCGATGACACCTGCATCCCAGCCGCGCGAACTCGACATTGCTAAAGAGGACCTCACGACTTCCGCAGGAGCTGCAGCCGCATATGTGTCTTCGCCGGAGGCCGCCATCATATTGCCGCATGCAACGATCCTTGCTTTCCTGCGAAACCACTCACCACGCGGTGGTTTAACCGTGTAAACGATCTTCATGGGTACCACTTTGGCTCGCCCCTGTCGAATATCATCTCGTACTTGAGGATCCTGTGAGCTTCTCTTCTTAACGGCGTGATTGAAGGAACTCATCTCATCTCTTTCTCGACCGAGGGAATCCACTTGGAAAAACTGTCCTGCGCCTCCTTGGGATCGACCGTATGAACAATGGCCAAAGGACTCGACAAGCCATCCAATAGATGTTCCACATTTGAGGTATATGTCACCTCCATCTTGCTCATCTGAATGGAAGCACTGGAAGACGCAATCTTGACCTTAGGAACAGCTTCTGGATCACCTTCTCGAAGCGGAAGATACATGTCCCAATGCTCAACCTCTTCATCGGTAGAGCGCATCAGGAAGCCATCATTGATCTTTTCCTCCTCATCCGAGCTTTGTTGATCAAGGGTTCTGTCATTGGTACCTCCATCAGTGTTACTCGTCATGCTCTTGGGGATCGCACAGATTTCTTCCTCAAGCTCTTTGATGTAGTTGTCCTCCTTCTGTGCTTGTACCGAAACCATACGCAGTGATACTTCGGGCGCCGGATCATCACCTTCTGGGGGTACTGGAAACCCTAGACGAGCGAGAACTTCACGATCAGCTCCTGACAGATTCCTCAACACACCCGTCGTATAAGCAGCTATTCTCAATCCTTTCCACGGAAGAACAGCGTGCCGCCGACGGGGATCAAAGACCGTGATCCGACCTTGCTCCAGTGGACTCACGCAGCCATAATGGGGAACTCCTCGGGAATCCAGCATTTCCGTGACCTTTCCCCTCACAATGTCCCCATCTGAAATCTCTATCCAAAGATCTCCTCCACGGCGAGGCATCACAATGGGGTACAGATAGTTGCTCTTCCCGGACAGGTTGTTGCTGTCAGTATGAAGATCTTTCTGAGCATTAACCGACACATACAACGAAGTGAACTCTGCATCAGGGCACTTCATCACAAAGGTCTTCACGAAGAACTCGACAATCCATGATCTGTCAAACGTGGCCCTTGTAAGCCCGACGGCTCCTCCATGTCGGAACACTCCAAAAACTCTTTCATGCGAACCAAGCATCAGCGCTATCTGGACACACAAACTCTCAGCCTCCTCCTGGGACCAAGAATTCATCAGCGCAGATGCCTTGGCCTTTAGCTCCTCATCACCACGATAGTCTGAGCCTTTGAAACTGCCACCACATCACCACTCCCAGCCGCCTTTGACCTCAATCTTCGACTGAGGAGGACCCGGTAGATCAGCTTCAAAAACATCTGGGATCTCGGGCTCAGTGAACTCTGTGCGAACATGGACTGTATGGATGAACTTCTCAGCCTCGCCCTCGGTCACATAGATAACATGTCCCCTTCGCACCGTATCTGAAAGACCAAGGTACTTGCCTTCCACCCATCGCGGCGCTAAGTCATCAGGTTTTCCTGGCTCAGCACTTCCACCGTATTCTCGCTTTCGCACCAACACCCGTGCGCCGAATGGCGCTGCCAGCTTCGTCTCCATCCCCAGTGTGGTTGCTCTCTGGGATGCCGCAGCCATAGACACCGCCTGAGGCTACAATCTCTGGGGTAATTTAGACCCGAAAAGTAAAGTTCTTGCTCGCTGCTTGACATACTTGACCGCATTCTCCACCACTCCATTTTGTTGATGAAGCCCACCTTCACTAGTGGTAAATCGAATACCATGGTACTTCAGCCACTGACGAGTTGCTTTCGCATAAAACTCCATTCCCCGATCACAATGAAAACGAAGTACTGGTATATTGAGAGAATTGCAGTAGAGGACGACGTCTTGGATGCACTCCAGCACCGTAGCACTTTTATTGTCTGGCGTCGCAGCTGCAAACACTAAATTCACCAAATCTGGGCCCGTAAGATCTGAATCATCTTCATGTCGCTGAGGATCCTTTCTTTTGGTTTGAACCCCATCATCATCATCCTCATCGGCTGCCACAGGCTCCTCTTCCCGGACACCTTCTTCACCGGCAGCTCCTGGGGAAACATCTTCAGAGAAGTCGAAAGCACCTTCGGCTATGGGTCCATCTGCTTCAAGCTCACCTGGGTCATACTCGACGCATGCACCACGACCATCATCAACAAGGGCCTTCGGAATTCTAACCTTCGCAACGAAGAGGTACTTATGAGGTCGGGGGAAAGCCCCCCTTGCATCCGCATCCAGCCCCGGAACTTTCAGAGGCCCACTCACATCTGCAGACATCACAAAACAGCTCGGGTGCTCCACCCTTGCATGCCTCCTCCCCGTTGCCCCTGCGGAAACACATGTCAAACAGTCTGAACGATAAGGAAGATGTCCCCGTCTAACATGTTCCCGCCACTGCTCCGTCGACATCTTCAACATTCTTGGCGATAACCGCTGAGTCCGAACAGCGATGGCAACAACCTCGGAAAATTCCCGAGACCATACTGAGGGAGGAGCTTTTTCAGGAGGAACCGCATCAAGCTGTATCCGACCTCGTAGACCGTCCAAGTGTCTCAATGGCAAATTGGTGCCGATGGTCGTGTGCCTTGGAAGCGCTTTCCCGATCGACGACATGTCAAACGAGTAGCTCGACATGCCCGCCTCCTCCGCACACTCCTGCCACATAGGTGTTCTCCAAAAACTCACGCAATCTTGGAACAAAGGGTCATCAAAACGAAGATAACCTCTGGGATCGCGCGGTTGCTCAAGTAGAAAACCCACTTCACGAACGTCTGCAGGGTCTGGAGGAAACTTAGTTCTACCCGCCGTAGACAACGCATGCAAATACAACATCTTCGCAAAGAGACCAGTGTGTTTGTTCACATAGTCAACCTCTGCTGCAGACAGGCCTGACCACCCACCATACGGAAACTCGGCAGACCGAAGGACCTCTGGTCCAGGGGTCATATGTCTCCGCAGCATAAAGGAATTTTGAGGAGGCCCACCAACCAACGATGCAATGCGACCATGTCTCGCTCCCCACTCCAAAGCCCTCCAGACCAAAGGATTGTTCACATCATGCGTCTTTCCCCTTTCCAGATCAAGCTCCAACACCACAAATCCTTCTCGTTGGGGCGCTTTCCAGAGTACAAATGAACCACCCACTGAGTTGAAGCCCACAGTCTCTTTCTGGTTCTTCTGTTCAGGTGACTCAAGCCCTTTAGCGCATCCCATCCATTGGAAATTGGAACTGCTTCTGCAAGGCCTTGAAGAGCGGGTCGATGAACTCCTTCGAAGAAGGGCGCGCGGTCAATAGCAAGCAAAGCCTCCGAGCTCAACCCTGACTCACAGTACGTCAGCAAATGATCGAACCACGTCTTGTTCAGCGCCAGAGCTGCTTCACGAACCTTGGCCTTAGTTATCTCGGTAAGTGACTTCAGCGATTCCGGCTTCCTGTCTTCGATCTTGCTGATGAGGGACAAGGCCTGCTGCTCCGTGATCTCCGGACATCCATTGCGAACACGTAAGTTGATCACTTCCCCATCTCGGCCAAACAACTTACATCGAGAACCTGCCCATTCTAGTCGGTATCCCAGCATCTCCACTAAGGAACCAAGCGGCACGATAGGCGCCGTTGCCGAAGTCGTTTCGGAGGGACCCGACATTGGTACTAACAATGTTCCAGCTGCATTCATCTTCAACTCCACCGTCTCTCCTCCAGCCAGATTGACTAGTACCGCGCTGCCGCTCTGCCACTCGTCCTCAGTTGCAGCTCGGCGTAAAGGATGAGTAGCCCCGGAGTCGACCAGAGCGTAAACTCCACCTTCATCAAGCGTAGTTGCCCTGGCTCCCTTCAACGAAACCACATTGATCGTAGGCGAGGTCGACGACGGAGTAGCCGTACTTGCTACCTTGGCCGCAGCCTGAAGTAGCGACTCCCACGACAGAATAGGCTGTCCTGGGGTGACTTCCAACGATTGAACGGCCTTCGGAGATACTTCGCCTTCTGGTTCCGCATGTCCCTTTGCGCTGGTAGGAGACCTAGTTGCCGTAGACGCCGAAGACTCCGCATTATTCTTAGGGAACTTGGGGTTCTTTGTAGGGCACTCCCGCTGACGATGCTCCTCACTTCCACAGGCAAGACATTTGCGAGCTCGGTCCTGTTTGCTTAGGCTGGACATGTCGTGTTGAAATGAACACTTCGATCCCCTTCGACATCCAGCTGGCTTCTGGAAATATTTGCACACTGGTTTCCCACCTGCTGTTGGGGACGTGGGAACATTGACCGCCTTGATGGAGGGCGCCGAGGTAACCTTCAAAGACGACGAAAGAATCATCTCAACCTCAGCTTGCAAGTGCTTCTGGTACTTAACAACATCGTCCAGCGACGGCTGCTGATCGATCTTGAGCGTCGCGCGAACCAGTTGTGTACGAAACATCGCATCTGGACTCGACGATATGGTAGCCGCCGTTGTAGTTGACAATCCCTTAGCCAAGACTGTTCCATCGGGGATTGACATCTTCATATCTTGGCACCGCTGCAACCATCGCGGCCACGCCCTCAGCATTTGGAGGCATTCTTGATCACCTTGAGGTCGATCGCCACCTTGAAGTCTCTGGAGAATGACTGACCTCTCGCCTGCTCCTCCAGGCTGATAGAGCGTATACAGAGGGAATAACATAAGCGGCATGGATTGCGTCGCCCTCCGCGCTATCAAGTCGTGTTTGATCGCTTCCGGAATGGCCTGCACCACCATCGCACACGATCTTGCATTTACCCTGACCCACTTGCCCGTAATCAGGTCCGCTGCCGCATGCGGTTCTATGCCCAGCCTTTCCAACGGCGAGGCTGCCAGCCAAGTCTCGTAGGCCTTCGTCACCGCATTCTTGACCAACTCCCACCAAGACCCAGATCCCGAAGACAAGTCTTGCATTGCCGTAGTTATTTGCACCAACCAGTCTTGGAATAGCAAGCCGCTCTGATCACCATCCGGAGGTCCTAGCACAGGTAGCGCTGCCAATCCAGTTTTGACTACTTCTGGTACATCATCCCCAATACCATCCTTCTGCAAGTTCTTCAGCTGGATCTCCTGCAGCTGACGCATGCTCTGAGCCAATGCCTCGATCACCGTGGCCTCGCTCGACTGAAGAGATGCCTTGGTACCCGGCACAGGTGCTGGCTGCTGTGGAGCTCCTGATTGACATTTAGGAGGAGGCGGATTCGGCTGTGCTCCTCCTGAAGAAGCGCCTTGGTGTTGCCCAGAAGAAGCACCAAACTTCACGGCTATTCCTTCCCATAACCTACTCCAGGGATCAGCTCGTTGGTCTGGTACGTCACGATTTCCCTGATCATTGCCTTGGGGTACTGTCGAGGGAGCAAGTAGAGGGGCAGGAATTTGTGGATACCCACCTGAATGACCAGGTTGAAGATCAGCGCTCTGAGCCCTCATAGCCTTGGCTTTCTCGCGATCCAGCTCAGCTTGCAGTCGCAGGTTTTCATCTTCCATTTCACTTAGCCGTCCAAGGATTGCACCCATCTGTCGCTGCACTTCGGCTTGGATAGCTTCCACAGGAACACTGCTACTGCTAGGCGGTGTATTGTAGCTGGACCCCTTTGGATTCCTCTGCACCCGACCTCCACGATCCCTTTGAGCCTCCTGTAGTGCTCCACCAGGATGATCATCTGCAAGTAGTCGACGAGTTCCTGGAGGCAACGGTGGAGAAGATATAGGACTCGGGAGCCATGTAGGGGGTATTCCAGGCTGCTTAAACATTCCACTCAATCGCGTAACCCATCCCGGCCACGATTGCAAACCACGCTGAGACCCCGTAGATCTCGGCGTGTGAAAACCAACTTGAGTCTCCCCGGCTGCGTTCGCACTGCCCTGTATCACTTCAGCGTCTCCTCTCAGCTCTGCAAACTCCATCTCAGCCGCGGTCCATTGTGGTCCGATTTGCGCTGAGATCCGTGGTGCCATTGCCGAGAAGCCGACCGCATCCGCGCTAGGCATTGCTTCCGCAGCGATTCCAGTCTCGCCACCTGGTGCTGTCTGAGTAGAAGGTCGCGGATCATCACCTCCACCTTCCATTTCTGCGCTCTCAGCACGACGAGCCCCGTCTTCGCAGTCATCGCCTTGAACTTCACGGGCCGGTACATCTGCACGTCCCTGGGCACCACCATCTGTAGCACCATACGAACCAGAACCTTGAACTCCGTGTCGCTCAGTGTTGACTGCACCATTAATAGCAGCGGTAGCACCTTGGGCGCTCATAACCTCAAGAACCGCCTGAGGGCGCCACGTAGTAAAAACTGCAGCAACGGCACACAGCTAAACCCAGGCACACATGGCGGTCGATTCTGGACTTTTCTTCACTCACAAACGAACAATGAGCTCTTACCGGCTCTTCCACGGCTCCTGAGATCTACGGGTGTACAGTTTAGATCTATCAGGTAGACGTACTGAAAATCTATACAGAAGTGCGTGACCCAAGGGGAATTACTTCGTAGCCTTCCCTGAGCCAACAAACATACAACGATCGCTCACATCCAGCACTTGAAAGCTACTCTCCTCAGTCATTATTACTAGTGTTATTAGTGTTTTTGGCTCTACTTACGACTCTCACCATCATTATTTCATTTTCCGAATGGTCATGCTCATCGGTTACATTTTTTTGATTAATTTATCCGCTACGGTGCAGGTGAAAAGCAGCTTGGGTTTGGGACTAATTATAGTGGACTGTAGATCAATTTAGCGCTACTCGGCAGGAAAACTGGCATAAACTTGCCAAAAGGTTGGCTTGTGCTCAAGGTCCTGAACCTCAATCGGGATACCATTGGGCAATCAAGAAAAGGCCGTAAAAGCGAAGCGATGAAAGCAGCTGCCAGCGGCCTGCTTAAGGCCCTACATTCCGGAAAAAAAACCGCCAAGGCAGCTTAAAGAAATTTCTCTGGCGCCTTCGTGAACATACACATCTGTTCGGGATCCAGGGGCTATATGGTGCGTAGAGTTAGAAAGGCCGTCCTTGGCATGAGATGAACCGAAACTCATTCACGATGCCTTAGCTGCCTTCTGCGGAGGGGTGGAAGGGAAGCCTACACCGCTACACCCATCTGTTTATGGGTTTGGGGTGTAACTGTGTAAGAGATTAAGAATAAGAAGAAGAAGAACAGTAAGAACAGGATTAGAAGAAGAATACTGCCACTACCACTATACTCTTCATACAATAACAAAACTGATAGTAATAGACATAATGACAACAAGACTAAGAAGATGCCTATGCATATATACATAGAGAAATGGAAAACATGTGCATATAAATCTGAACCACAGAAGTATAGACCGTAAGTACAAGTATAAACACAAATAAACAAAAACAACAATAAAACCACACGAACACTTGAACAAATGAAACATAATAACAATGCGTGTTATTACAGTGACAAATAAGAATTATGACTATTTTTAATAAATAGTATATTTATGTACGCATGAGGAACACGGTGGTTTTCTTCTGGGGCCCCCGAGCGTCGTTTCAGCTGCTCTTGCTCACTTTCCTGACAGCAAGTGCAAGCAATAGTAATAATATTCGTAGTGGTACCAGTACCAGTACTAGTACGAGTCATAGTCATAGTCATGGTCATGGAATCCTGTGTGCATCCTTCCTAAAGCAGGAAACACAGCAGGCTCATGGAGGGGTTCAGTTCCTGGGCTTTCGCAGAGTGTCATGTCAGTCTGGATCATTTCCGGATCCGAGACATCCACTGCTACCGTGACACGCTATTTGCTTTTGCACGCCGCTCCCAGCTACACCAAGACAGGTCTGCAGATTGCCAAAAGGCTCGGGATCTCGAGCGCGCGCGGGACAAGGGGTCCAAGGTTGGACAAGCTTGCTTGCTGCTGGCATGCACAGATTCTCCAAAATTCTTCTCTCTCGATCCGTTCACACACGCACACACACGCGCGATGCCGGTGAGCCCTAAATGAAGCCTACTGTCGAAGGAAATTTCATGCAAAGCCACCTGCGAGTACTGCTAGCCCAATCAAAACGCATCATAGCCCTTGCTCCCACAGCCTGGCAGAAGATCTTTTCCCGGTCCGCACGGGGGGTCATAGAGCTGGGCCGGTGGTTCTCCTTCGCCTGGAGACTCCACATGCAATCTAGAAGCCAACAGACTAGGGTTGTGGTGTTTGCAGGCAGGAACCCTATCGACACACCTCAACCCTACAAACGGCCCCAAAACCCTCCACCCTTAAACAACAAAACCTTGTGTCCGTATCAAGGCCCAGGCAGCAGAGGATGCTCTTCGCAAAGACTTGCGCCTCTCCGATTCTGCCTGTCTCAGGCATCGACCAACGAAAACCCCCATCCTAAATCCTGAAGAGCTTCATGGTTCAGGGTTTAGGACTGCAGCTTCAGGTTAAGGGGTTGGGATGAATCGCCGAGAAAGGTGTAGCGGCCCAGCTCTTCTGAAAGAGCTTCTGGGCATGTCATGCCCTACAACTGCAGCGATTTTAAAGGAAGCACTACATAGTCTTGACTGCCGAAGCTGCCGAGGATCCTGTAGCACACGTGCTACTTTCTAGAACCCTGTTAAACACCTTCAGGAACCTCGCAGAGGAATCTCTATGGCACTCCTTCTAGTACCTCTGACTATACCCTGATAACCCATAAAGGAGCCCCGTAAAGGTATCCGTCCGTCCTGCGAACGCTTCGGGGGTTTCTCCGGCCTGCTTCGGGGTGGCATCCATCTCCTCGAAGATGCTGAAGCCGTTCGCGGCGTTTTCCACAGACTCCTGGCGTCAGGAGCTTAGGGCTTACGGCTTGGAGTGTGGGGCTTAAGGGTTTTAGACCCTAGAGTTGAGATTTACGTAGAGTGTGGTTGCTGTTTGAGGTCTCTGTTCCGTCTCGAGGAGTTAGGCGTGCCACAATTATGGCTGAGCTTGTTCGGGACCATACCCGCTCTGCAAGCGAACGAGTTCAGGGCTTAGGGCTCAAGATATGACAGATATGACATGATACGATATAATATGACTCTGAAATGATATAATAAGATATGACTTTGAAATGATATGACTCTGATATGGTGAGATATGACATGCTATGATATGACAGGACATGATGCGATGACTGCATGGCATCCTTAAGCTCGAGTCTGGGAACTTGCGCAGCGCTGACATGCAAGCTGTCCATGAAGCGCTCGGTAGCGGTCATCACCACGGCCCGGTCGTCCATGGTAGTTGGGATCTCATAGGAACTTGGCTGGGCGGGGCGAAGTACGAAGGCAGCAAGATTCTGACATCTGTCGCGCATGACTCACCTTGACTTTGTGCACAAGCCGTGGTGAGGCAGAAGCCCGGGACCAATGGCACTCTCCTCCCCCTTGCTGAAGCGAGCAGACGACATCCTGCCCGGCAAAGCAGCGCATGCAAAATGTTGAAACGTGAGAGGGCTTGGCTATGCGACAAGTCATTGGCTGCAGACCCTTCCAAACAAGCATTGGACATGTCGCGTGGCCTCGACCACGTGGACATAAATGGGGCAGACTCTTGCCTGCAAAGCATGAGCCAATGCAAGACTTCAAGGGACGGGCGCTTCAAGAGTCGAGCTACCAACGGAACCAAGGGCCTGCGGGCAACAGGTCCGGGCCGAGAACGGCTAAGCACTTAGCCGCTCGTTCGAGCCCAAAGTGCTCCTCCACACAAAATCTTTGACACAAGTCTCCTTCTGGGTGATAACCGACCAGCCGCCACCGCCGCCGCCACCATCACCACCACTGCCACCACCACGCCCGACGACGACAACAACGACCGACGACGACGACAACCACAGCGACGACGGCCATGGTCGCCACAACGCCGATGCCGACGACCAGACGACCAGGACGAAGACCGCAACTACAACCCACGAGCATCTGCGATTCCTATCAAACATACACGCATGGCAATGTCACGGTAATGTAAACTGACATGCTATAAGCCGAAACTTGCTGACGTGTGGCAACTAGGGCAGGCAGGATTCCAACTTGGAGGTAGTGAGTTGCAGTTCATAACAAGTGCTACTAAGACCAATGACTCCAACCGAGTATCGAAAGGCGACGTGCCGCTAAATTGAGAGCTTCATAGTCGGAGCCGTCTAGAGGTGCCGACAGCCGGCTTCCTTGAGGGACGGACATAACTGCCAAAGCTCACGAGCGCGCATTGCTTTTGGCTCGCCACGAGAGGCTGCGTAAACCTCAGAATCCGCGCAACAAAGGCCCGGAATGCAGAGCCGGTCCTCTGCAACTCCGCCCTTGCAATCAACCGCTTAGCAGGTCCGAACCTGAAAGCGATCGCAGAGAAACCCTTCGAGGGAATTAATTCGCGGTTCGTGCTCCTGTTTCTGCAATAGGCCAATAGGCGGCCCTCCAGATGAAGCCGTCGGACTGCACCGAGAACAGGAGCACAGTCGCGAGAGAGTTGCTGAACCATGCAGCAGGCGAGCGTGTGGGTACAGTTGGAGTCCGCTATAGAGTCCAGAAGCCTGCAAACTGATCTAC